GTCCACAGAAGCAATCAATCAGATTCCAAACTCTCCACCATGGCCAAGACCAAAGAGCTCTCCAAGGATGTCAGGGACAAGATTGTAGACCTACACAAGGCTGGAATGGGCTACAAGACCATTGCCAAGCAGCTTGGTGAGAAGGTGACAACAGTTGGTGCGATTATTCGCAAATGGAAGAAACACAAAAGAACTGTCAATCTCCCTCGGCCTGGGGCTCCATGCAAGATCTCACCTCGTGGAGTTGCAATGATCATGAGAACGGTAAGGAATCAGCCCAGACCTACACAGGAGGATCTTGTCAATGATCTCAAGGCAGCTGGGACCATAGTCACCAAGAAAAAATTGGTAACACACTACGCCGTGAAGGACTGAAATCCTGCAGCGCCCGCAAGGTCCCCCTGCTCAAGAAAGCACATATACATGCCGGTCTGAAGTTTGCCAATGAACATCTGAATGATTCAGAGGATAACTGGGTGAAAGTGTTCTGGTCAGATGAGACCAAAATGGAGCTCTTTAGCATCAACTCAACTCGCCGTGTTTGGAGGAGGAGGAATGCTGCCTATGACCCCAAGAACACCATCCCCACCGTCAAACATGGACGTGGAAACATTATGCTTTGGAGGTGGAAACATTATGCTTTGGGGGTCTTTTTCTGCTAAGGGGACAGGACAACTTCACCGCATCAAAGGGACGATGGACGGAGCCATGTACCGTCAAATCCTGGGTGAGAACCTCCTTCCCTCAACCAGGGCATTGAAAATGGGTCGTGGATGGGTATTCCAGCATGGCAATGACCCAAAACACACGCCCAAGGCAACAGGAGTGGCTCAAGAAGAAGCACATTAAGGTCATGGAGTGGCCTAGCCAGTCTCCAGACCTTAATCCCATAGAAAATATGTGGAGGGAGCTGAAGGTTCGAGTTGCCAAACGTCAGCCTCGAAACCTTAATGACTTGGAGAAGATCTGCAAAGAGGAGTGGGACAAAATCCCTCCTGAGATGTGTGCAAACCTGGTGGCCAACTACAAGAAACGTCTGACCTCTGTGATTGCCAACCAGGGTTTTGCCACTAAGTACTAAGTCATGTTTTGCAGAGGGGTCAAATACTTATATCCCTCAATGCAAATCAATTTATAACATTTTTGACATGCGTTTTTTTTCTGGATTTGTTGTTGTTATTCTCTCTCACTGTTCAAATAAACCTACCATTAAAATGATAGGCGGATCATTTCTTTGTCAGTGGGCAAACGTACAAAACCAGCAGGGGATCAAATACTTTTTCTCCCTCACTGTATGTTGGTGACCACACGCGACCGATGATATTAGCACCCTCCCGTTTGACTTAATCAGCCCTCGAGCAAAATGGCAACGCACTGGATGGCGCATTTGGACGAGTGACGCATTAAAACATCAGTGAGAGTGAACGTGTACGCGAGATGGTGAACGATTGCGGGAGGTTGGCTCGCATTCCGTGAATATCAGCAGCAGTTTAGTGTTGCCCATAAGAGGCTGGCATTTTGTATGGTCACGCCCGACTACTGCAGACGTATTTTGCAGCCTTACGTTACCATGATATCACGGTGGTCGTACATTGGCTCGATTTTTCATTGGCCCCCTTTTTCCGCAGCTGTTATATGTTTCTATACGGCCTGGTGTCAGACCGCTGCCATATGAGGGAGGGGGGGGGGGGGGGCTCTTTTTTGGCGTGTCAGTCATAGTTGTGTACTTTGACCATATTTCACCATGCCGGTTAGTGGAGATTGGTGAAGGTGGGGGTTGGGTGGTGGGACGGCAAGGACCGGTTCATATATCACTTGCCACTGATGTTAAACTATTTTAAACTAAACACATTTTTTTTTATTTTACCAGGTAAGGCCCACTGAGCTATGTAGCTCTTTTTTAATAAGCAACCTGGCCACAAATGATAGCCCAACGAAGTGGGTTATCACGTGGATATTTATAGCAGCCAAATACTTTAAACGCATGCTTTTTTCTAAATGTGGAGGAAAAAACCATCGGACCTGGAGGAAAATCGATTTGGCCACGGGGATAGAGAACATGCAAAGTCCAAATATACAGGCGTCAGGGTCGGGATCGAACCCATGACCTTTATATTTGGCGTCGTTGTTAACATATTTCCACCGTAGTTCGATATTTGCCATAGCTGGGAATCTAACTGTGGTCACAGGGTTCACAGTGCCGTGTGCTAAGCACAGTACCTCACTTCCGCTTCTTCCGCTACACATTTGCCAGTGCCACCATTCAGCCTTGTGTGTGTGTTTTTTTAAAGACATATCTCAAATGGCATAGCAGCGGCAGCAACAATAACATTGAGGTCATGCAATATTAATTCGGAAATGGTAGGAAAGGCCGGAGCCACGGTGCCATATTTATTCTACAGTAATGACGCTGACAGCAATAAACAATGCAGTGGTTCAACAACTATTTAATCCATGAAGGCGGTTAGGAGTGTGTTGTTTTGTTAGCTTAATGCCCCCTGAGGAACCGTGATTTGACTCGGAAGTCACAGGGTGGAGGTTTGTAATCTCCCGGGGCGTCAGCGGACCAGTGAATACAATGCTTGCACAATGGCCCACATTCTTCAGCTCACTCATATGTAAATTGCCAATGTAAATGGTCATTTATGCAAAGTGCTACGCACAGTGGGTACTGCTAATTATTCACTCCTGCCATAATGTTCTTGAGACAATGCTGGCACTACGGTCGTAGTAGATGCGTTTGGGTTGGTCACATCCTTTTATGGAATGCACGGAATCCTTCTCTGTCCAGTCAATATCGTAGGGTGACTTTAGAAATATATAAATGGACGGGGATGGGGTATCCGACGGTTACTGCTTGCTTTTGATAATAAAAATCCATACGAACTTTTTGCACACGCCCCGAAATGTCTTTTGCGATCAAGTTTTGCTTTGCATGCCAAGAACTTCAATTGCAAAATTATTTCAAATATAATCGTGGCCACTGGCGCACCCTGCAAATAATTTGTTGTTTGCAAACAGACTTCACGTGCGTGGCCTCACGTTGTAGGCCTAGGTCTACCAATTGGTTGCGATGCAAATGCTCTAACGGAGTAATTTCCCTTTTCGTCCATTTATACATTGGGTGAACGTGGAGAGTGTATGGTACATGTCTTCACGTTAATGTATTAATATATTGATCCTTAAAATACAAAACATTTTTTACGTATAATTGTGGGCTGCCAATTAGAATTCACCATTTCTTTCTTCCTGGTTTTATACAGTTTGCACTGGCTATTCAGTGTTGCATAATAATTTTGTCCAGATTACGAGACTCAATTTTCTGGTATAAAACAACAAAATGGGCAGCTTTTACTTGTTTTATGAAATAAAGGCCAAAAACAGAGACCCATATGCATCCGCAGTTGAGGCACCTCAACGGTACTGTGGATAATTGGCCTAAACTAATTTGCAAGTTGTTCTGCATTTTAATAAATGGCGGCAATAAAGCATCCTGGCTGCACAACTATTTCAAGTGAGATTTATCTGCCTTTCTGCCAATTGTTTAAGCCAAACACATTTTACAAGGTCACCCTGAAAAAGCCAGACCGCTGAGCTGGTAACAGGGACATTCATTAGAAATTGTTTACTTTGTGGAAACATGGCCAATTATGTTAAACTGATGAACCGAACACACAGGAAATTAGCTTAACCTTGCACATTTGCGAATACATGTGGCATCACGGTCACACCTAACTAAACCCATAGTCCCCGTTCACTGAAATCACTTTTGTTCACGTTGTTAATACTGTCGTAGGACGCTTGCCATGTGGGGGTCGAGCATTTGTTCAAGCATTGTTGCTACGAGCCCGGCCTATCTGAGTTCAATTCCCAGCCAAGACTAACATCAGTAGGCAAGTGATATATGATTTGGTCCTGCTAACTCCCTCCGCCTTCAACCTACCGACACCGATGAGCGTGGTGAAACGTTCAAATAACCCCCATGTCTGACACAGTCTGGGAATTCCTCCATCCAGCAGTGCATTGACAAATGACTGTAATTTAGCATTGTACACAGTGCAAGAAAACGCAAAGTATTTTCAGAAGAAACGATGCGCCGGCGATTCATCCATTTTGTGGCGATTCTCATGCTCACGGTGCATTCCTTTAATCGTTTGTGTCTTAATAATCGATGTGTTTTCTATTCGTGTGTTGTGTGCCATGGGTGTACATCACCTCTGTGGTAGAACATTTCACCGTTCCATCTCCTCTTTTGATAGGGATCCACCGTTGAGAAACTGCGATGAAATAAGTTTGTGTCCTGGCGACGTTTCCCAAATCTGACTGTTTAATCTGTTCATTGCGGAATGCTTTTATGTTGCCCGCCAACTGATTCGCCTTGGAAAAAGCGCTTCTCAGCTCTAAGGGCTTTACACGGGGGGAGATACACTTGCGATTCTGAAACGTCTGATCGCGGGACAGATCTCGAGAGCTGGCAGCAGCTTCGGGAGACCTTTGTCCAGCAGTGGATTGACCATGGCTGTTGATGATGATGATGCTGGCAGAAAAATAACCGATTCTCAAATGGAATTGCGGCATATCACGCGAACTCCGGTCATCCTGCTCTTCGGACGTGGCCCCCGAGCGAGCCGTGTGGAGAATGCGACCGTAATGTTGTTCAGCCTTGCGTCAACGCACTGCTGGACGAGGTTAGCCGTGGCCTGGAATCGAACTCGGGTCGCGCTCATTACACACAAAGTGCTTGCTACAAATGAACCACAATACCGTGTTGCCCATCTCGTCGAAGAACACAAACCATCACGTGAACTCGTGTCAGCCTCGCAGCAGCGGCTTTTGGCTGGCCATCGAACGGAGATGGTCACCGCATTGCACGTTTTCAGATGGCGCTCCTGAGGCTGTCTGCGGTGCTTCTTCTTTACGATATTAGGAAGCCTCTGTAGCTATGCACTTTTAAATCGGGAGTGAAAACTAATTTCTTTAGAATTGCTTTGTTGTGTTTGGTCTGTTGTCCTTCCCCCGCACCTCCAAATAGCACGGTTGGCTATGTACGGTGCGAAAGAAGTTCAGCGTGCGTGCATTTCATCAAATCTCCAACGAGGGGAGGACCAAAAGATGGAATTGGGGGGGAGGTGAAATATTCCACCAATAATTTTACTTCACACTTTTTATTGCCATACCGTATCGTAGCGCTTTTTAAGTCACATCCTAATCGAATGCGGTTTTTTTTTTTTACCTTCTCAAGAAATTCGATTCGGAACCCTTTTGTGGAGGCGGCGGTAGGGGAGTGACTTGTCTTCAACTCCGAGTTGTTTTGCCTTTCCCAAGTTAGTTTGCATTCACCTCTTGATTCACGGGAAGCTCTTAACGGCAGCAATACCGGGGAACCAGCTGCGCTCACCGCAGAAAAGAAAGTTTGTTCTTTGGCAGTGACGGCATTTTATTTTTTATAGATAGGCTTGCTAATTACATAAAGGAGCCTTCAGGTGCATGGCAAGTGGCGGCGAGCACGCGGAGATTCTAACTTATAGGCGCGTTTTATCGAGAACGCATTATCCCCGGGGGGACATTTTATCGTTTTGTTTACGTAACGGCTCGTACTGACACAGCCGAACACTCGCCGAGTTTCGTGCCGTTTTTTCGAGAGCCAATCTCACAGGGGCCTTTCCGTTAACGCGCTATTTCAGAGCACACGATGGTGCACAGGAATGTGAAGGCTAACGATGAGAAATGGAAAGATTGGGGTTTCATTATAAATCCTGTGCTTATCGGAAACACAGGGAAATGTTTGTCGATTTTGGTGAAGTTTGTGCGAACTGAAAACATCGACTTGCACGGAAATCCAAATTGCCAACTAGATTTTTAAGTGACTTTTTATTTAGGCTTTATATGACGATACGAATTTTTTTCTTCATTCGATCAGTTATGAATTTATATATATAATCAATCACCTACACAACATATTGTATTAGAATATTTAAATAAACGTTTGAGTATCCCAATACAAACACCTTCTGCTGGGAATCGTTAAAGATGCCTGTTATAGTATCACGCTTGACTTTAGGCTTAAGTGGGAAAATTAAAAGGAAATCAAAAACATGCTTTCCAATTCGTGGATTTTAAAGAATGTTTGTGATGTGACCCTAATTGTGAACCGAATTGATTTCATTTTCACAGACGCAGGCCATACAACCGTAGGTGAGGAGAAATTTTAGTTTTAGTGAAAGGGTGAAATGGATTTTTATAGTGGTACCTTCATAACGTAGCTTTTTTTTTCGGTATCCTGAAAAGAACACGATCATGAAAGTTTTAAATGGCAACAAAAAAGCCCCCCCCCCCAAAGAAAACTGTCAAGTTAGAATGTCTACAAAATTGCAGTCATAAAATAACTATTTACTGTGATTCTGGCAGCCTTCCTGAAATCTCTTTCAAAATGGTGTTTGGTCTCCTGACCTTAACACGCCTCTTTTTTTACACAATTTCTATTGCTTTCAGCCTGAATTTTAACGTGTCTGATGCGGGGTTTTTTGGCAAGAGACATCGGGGGAAATGCTTCCGTACCAATACCGGCATTAGTGCGGTGATTTAAAGGTAACGTGTTCATTTTTCAAAAAAGTTCCCTTTGCGGTGTAACTTTCTTCGCCACGGTCTTCGCTTTGCTCACACGCACACCCCGCGCGGTACCAATGGTGGTCGTGCTGCCGTGTTTTTGCTAATGTGTAATACCCACAAGCTCACTCTGAACCACACGTTACAAAAGTCAAAGTGAGTGCTGGATGGTGCTCATCTCTATTTACGGTTCGGCAATGAGCTGGTGATTGAAATTCCACGTTCCTATGGCAAGAGACCAGTAACCCCGCAGAGGAAGAAAAAAAAGCCCGTCACTGTTCGTGAGTAGAATGGCGACACAAAAGCAGGGGCAGAATAACGGGGTGCCTTCGGAAAGCTAAAATCTGATCATGAAACACAGAACACCCAGAAAGCATTTTGCTGGGTGTATAACATCTGCTGTGACACGCAAATGGGAAACATGGACACTATAAAATAACATTAAACAAAGGCTGAAAAAGTTTGCTCAGAAACATGGAGAGACGCGCGCTCAGAATTACGTTTCAGAGACAGGAGAAGGTGCGCAGGCATGATAGATGTTTGGAAGATGGCAGCATACGCGTTTCACCTTTCCTTTGTACACCCAGCCATATGGGTATAGGTACAGCCTGGGCCTGCTCGCTCGAAGAGTACCAACACAACTCGTCATGCCAAACCTCTTGTGGAATTTATTGTGGGCAGAATCGGCTGAAATGTCATGAGAACGTCGGTAAGACTGTGATTTTTTTTATTGCTAAAACACCGACCGATATATTTTTTTTGTTTACGTGCAGTATGTTTACGTGTTCATGAATATAAATCCCTTTGAAAAGTTTGATTGGCCTTTGAAATCTTGTACACATTAGCTACTTACTGCATTGTGGAAGCATGCAACAGATGCATGTTCAGTCAGTTATCCATAGACTCGACGCACATTGATTGCACTGGATACATATTTGTTTTCCATTGGCAGCTTTTGGCTGTCACACGACATAAATAAACAAGTGATGCGTATAAAAAAGAGTAATTTAATGCAACCAAATTTGCTTTGCAATTCCCAGTATCTATTGAAGAATGAAGCTACAAAGGCAATCATAAATTTGGCAATTCATCTGATTGAACTTTCAATTCTAGCTCAGACCCACAGAGAACGAAAACATGTGCGATTTAAATTAATCTTTCATTATGCAATGCAAATTTTACATCCTTTTTTTGATGAAAACCCCACCCAAATCTACTTCTGCTGTTGGAATGGGCGGGCTACTATCTCTTTATATTGCAAGAGTCATGAATTGTGCGTGTTTGTTCCACACTTCTTTGTTAGTGGGTTCAACAAAAATAATTTGCTTTAAATTCAGTGTATGAATGCAATGTTCATATCAAGACTGTTACATATATTTTGCTTAAATGAATACATGTTTACTTTTTCAGTATTATACGGTGGAAATCTAAGTTCATTTGTTTGGTTTTGCAGGCAATCAATGTGTTTTTTTACGATTCATCTTTGAGCAATGCAAACTAGTATTTGCATTTGAAAGTCCACGTACATAATTCAATTTTTAAAAAAATGTTTAAACACGTTTCGGGAAATGTTACACATTAATTGCATTCACTGTTGAAGGATTTTAAAAAATATATTTTGCAGAAAGCATAGTTTCGTCTATTATTTCCACGTTAGTTGTTGTCTTAATATTTAATTGATCTGCTTTGCAAATGTAGCAAGTCCATGATTGAAAGTTCTCTGACCGGATGGATCGTTCGTTCAGCTGCTGGCTTGAAATTCCAGGAACTGTGAAGCATCGTTGCATTTCTGCCAGCTGCCTTTGCTTTGTTTGAGCCACTCCTAAAATAACGTCGGGAAAAAAAGAGAACCACAGGTTGCCTCTTGGAACAAAACAATTTAACGTGTGACAGATTTTTTTTACGTTCTCATTCCAAGCATCAGTAATTGCACGCACAAAAGAGATATGCATTAAACTGCACTTCATTTTGGCTTGTGCCCAGCTGTGAGCGTACAAAGTGTCAATGAAATGTGCTCGACTTGAAAGCCAAAGGGGGTGCTGACATTCCTCATGATGACATGAAACCCTGTTGTCATATATGGACACCCGTTGTGTAATTGCGAAAAAAAATGTTGTTTTAACATTTTTTTTGTAAAAATGGTGAATGAGGCTGGCAGTTTTTGCCCAGTGGTGGAAATTAAAACATTTGTAATGCTACTTCTATGCAAGCAAATATGCTCTTATTAGCCCGAATGTATTATGATCATAGCATATGCAAGTCCCACAGTACCACGGATTGGTAGACTAATTATCGCTCTCATTATCTCAACCATTGCCGATGCTGATGCTAGTATCAGGGTATATATGTGAGGCTGAGGTTCAGTTCTAGGAGGCCCTCACTAAGCGAGTGCAAGTCTTTCCATCGGTGTACATGGCCTTTAATCGAACCCAGGTTTCCAGGACCTCGGTATAGTGTGGTGACCACTATGCCATCCCTATTCCTATGCCCACATCCTATCCCTGCTGTGTTATCATCATCATCCATGGTCAGTCCACTGCTGGATGACGCCCTAAAGCTGCTGCCACCTCTTTCACGAGCCTGCGATGTAATGAACCAGATAGTGCTTGCACGTGAACCGATTCCATCGCGCTGTTTCTTCTCGGTGAACGACCTCTCCGATGCATTTCTTATGACTTCTAAGCTAAGTCACGTACAAGCGTTCGCAGGTCTTTGTTGTCTTCGTAACGCATGTGCTCACCGTTAACGTGCCACAATTCAAGTGCAATGTTGCGCGTTCCAAGGCACAACAACAAAAGATACAAGCGAGGCAAGGTCGACGGAGCAAGTGCCAAACACGATTAGGTCACAGGCGTTTGTGAAAACACCATCGCGTCCGCATTTTCTCTGCCCTGCAATTCCCCACAGATTCCTCTAGGACATTGACTACGGGGACCCCCCCCACCCCACCCAACCCCCCACGTCCTCAGATTTCCTGCAGGGTCCGCCCCCCCGCAGGATGCGAGAAATTAAATGTAATTGTCTCGGCATTGGCAGACGGTTCAATTGAGGTTAAGTCGTTGGAGTGCGGGAGCAGAAGCGTGGCGGCGCATTCGCACACTGCGGCGTAGCATTGATGTGCCAAGGAGTGGTGTTTTTGGTCGGATTTGGCTTATTTTTATGAAATGATAAAGGTCAGCCCCCCCCCCCCCCCCCCCCGTACTAAACAGGCGGCTTTCCTCTATCGAGGACTGTCACCCTGCGGCAAGGTGTGGCCTGGACAGAGGCGTTTGCGTCAATGCTACACAAAAAAAAATGTTGTCCCAACAACTGAATTGACACATTGCCAGCCCATTGTGTTATCGGTTTGTCGACAGGGAAATGGTGGGTAAAGTAACTTGTGCCCAAGGGTGACTCGACTTGGGAGGCAGTGGTATTATCCCTGTGGCGTGAAACAGTTCTTCAGACGAATGCAGAGTGGTCAGGGGCACCCATCCATCGTGTCGCAATGCAGCTCGCTCTGCGTTTAACCTGGTCGACGGCCTGACAAGTTGGCTAGGTTGTAAGAGGTGAACACTTCCGCAAAGTTCGTCACTGTAAATTTCACCTCAGTCTGCTCAACGCTGTTGCCCGCTGTCAACACTTCATCTCTGAAAAAATGTGGGGTGACACTGCTCCCAATAGGGGAGACCCCTATCATATGCTCAGGTCTTGGCCAAAGTTAGCAAGGTTTGAAAATGACCTCAGGATTTTCTTGGGTCAAATTTCTCGAACTTTGAAGGTTATGCTGATTCTTAAAATGTAAAAGTTGTGGAACCGTATGGTGGACAATCGCATATAAGGCATGAGGCAATATATTGTAAATTTCCAAAGATGGTCCATGCCATACTCTGAGTGTGTGTGTGTCTGTGTCTCCGTGTCTGTCTGAGTATATGTTGTCACGTGATCATAGCAAGTGCTGCCTGTACACCTGCTTTGATCATGGTTATTTTATTAAAACCACAGGTATTAGGAGTAATTTGCTGCATGACTCCTATTATCTGCATGAAACCTGCGAGTATCAGGAAGCCGCTTAACGATGCATTATGGGTAAAATTGCTGCTATCCACGGATAATAGGAATAAAGAGGGCCACGGATAATAGGAGTTTCCGCAGAGCCTACAGTTTCAGAAAGTAGTAGGAGTCACGCATAATAGGGTCGCGGAAAACAGGAGTTCACGCGTACAGCACTTGCTATGACCATGTGTTTCCATTGGGACTTTAGTTTGGCTGTGTTGACGTTTCACGTTGACGGGATAATCCACTCATCACCTCTCTGTAATCAGGACAAGGGAGCTTTAAAGTTATTGCTTGTTGCTGCTGGCCTGGTTTGACAACTGCAGCAGCGCAGCATTGTGGAAGTTTCCATTGTTTTGTGTCGTTGCATTGGTCACTTGAAGTTTGAACTCTGCTCCTGACCCCGCATGTTACGATACCTGTCTCCACCAAACAAGTCCTTGCTCACTAGCAGGTTTTCACCGGATTTGATTAACAGAAAGCTGAACATGTTTGTCATTTAAGTGAAAGATCACACCCGGCTGAGTGCACAGAAGAATGGTGTGCTTAGTACGCCTTGAACGCTGTGCACGTTTTATGCGTCTGTGTCCTTGTTGTGGATATTAAGGTCACGATCTGTTGATTCTCGTGACAAAATCACACGTGAGCCAAATTGTTCTCATTTAATCAATGTGCCTACAAAGTACTTAAAAATGCATATAACACTATTGAGCTGGGCTAATTCAGTTGACCAATATCACGCTGCCAAATCGTTGGTTCATATGAGTGGATCCATATTACATTTGAAGACCAGCTTATACGTCCTTATAATGAAGGGTACCGTGAACATTTGGTCCTGCTTTATTATTATGGATATTGTTCAAGATGATTATTTTTTACATTCCCTCAGGTGAACTGTCAATGAAAATGCATGCTTGCAATCGGTAAACGAGTGTGTGCTGGGGCAAATTGTGAGTTGTATCTTCGTGTGTGGACACGCACAGTCCCCTTTTTGTCAATTCACTACGAGGTGATTGCCTCCCCACGCCTTGTTGGAGGGGGGGGGGGGCAGTATTTGACCATACTTCACCGTACTGGCCAATGCGGGTTGGTGAAGGAGGGCGTGTGCAGAACAATAAATTCCCTACGTAGTACATGAGACATCTCTGCTGCTGGCGAGGCCGGTGATTAGCATCTTTTTTTTTAATCCTGTGAGGAAATACATAAAACAATTACTCATTTTGCTTTTATTTTAACTTAAGGCTGTGGTGGTCCCTTGTGGTGATGTGTGGCCCGTATGATTGTTCATGGTTTTTGGTGAGTCATGCGGGACTTAAGGGAGCATTTCTGACTGGTGTACAAAAATATCAGATTGCCACGGTAATTGTGTCAGGGGTAAAGTGATTATGTTCCATCGATCTTACGTCCAAAAGGTAGTTTGTTCGGAGGGTACCGTTACGTTTAGGATTTGTATTGGCTTCATGTAACACGTTCGGTTTTATATGTTTAAGTCTTACAACAGCGGGATGTTGTAACCAGCCTCCAGACTGCTTTTATAGATAAGTAATACGTGACCCTTTCGCTTTGAAATCAAACGTTTATCATAATTCAATTTTATCTGATGGCCGAGGGACACGGAGCCCAGTGGCAATAGGATGTCTTGGCGGGATGTAGCATATTATCAGTTAATGAAAC